AAAGCCTTACGACCGGATATGGGCTATAACACATTAGCCAACTTTCGAATAGAAAAGAAAATTGGTCGCGGACAATTTAGTGAAGTTTATAGAGCAGCCTGTCTCTTGGATGGAGTACCAGTAGCTTTAAAAAAAGTGCAGGTAAGATGTTTTTAATTATATAATAAATCAGTTTAAAATTATGCTATGTGAATGATGGATGAGAAAAGTATATCCTGAATGAATGGGTACGGACAGCCTGAAGTTGAGAATGCTGAGAAAGAATGAGTATTGTATTTTAAAAGCTAGAATCGAGTGTAGTATAGAGTGGAAATTTTAGATTTAACACGATTTCTAGCCTTTAAAAATTTAGCTGGTATTGAATCTAGAAAAGCTTTCACAACTCTGTATTTTAAGAGGCAGATTTGAGTTATTACCATTACTTCTACCTGGACATTTAACTAGATGTTGAGTGCTCACTGAAGTTCTACAGCTACAGGCATTGCATTCAGAAACTAGTCACAAAGTATACTGCTCGAAGTTAGTGAATGGCAGTTAAACCATACCAGCAGAAAATGAAAGGAAAATGATGTGAACTTAGAAATAAAAAAAATGAGGCAGATAAAATTAGAACATTGATACCCAACTTTAAAATCTCTTATTGTATTTGTGTCCTTCTGGAATCAGCTTTGCTCCCTAATCCAGATCCCTTTTTGTCTTCTCAAATTCATTTATCTTGCTCCAGCTCCTCTTTCCAAGTCCTGCCCTAACCCTGGAGTTGCAGTCCCACTGAGCTACGCTGGAATGCTCACTTGCCAGAGCCCTGAATGTTTCACTGACCTAATGAGATCCTCTGGCCTAGAAAGTACTTGTCTTTCTGCCTTTGAGTGTATATGACATCAAACAATAAATCACACAGTAAATCATGTACTTTTACTTCCCTCTTTTAATTAGGGTAATAGTGATTCTTCACGCCTGCTGTAGCCCATCCTGCTTTGCAGCTCTGCTATCTTTTCTCTGCAGAGACCTGTGAAATCTCAATGTTTCTGTATTTTTTTAAATTTCTTAAGCTGATTAGTATACTTGTGACAGCCAGTGTAGAGATGAACTGTTTAATTTACATTTAAAAATGAAATATTGATGATTCGTAAAAGGTTTTATCTGGTATATGTGAGAAACAATACCTCCCTATCCACAAGCCAACTTAAGAGGTAAACATTAAAAATATTTCGATGTGTGTCTGCCACTTCCTTCCCTCAGAGATAATCATATCCTGGATTTAATGTTTATCATTCCCTTGTTTTTCTTTATGGTTTTTCCTACATTGGTATGAATTTCTAAAATAAAGTCTATTTACTTTTGCATTTTTTTGAATTTTACATAATTGAAGCATGTTTTATATAAGCATTACACACACACACACACACGCACTCAGAGCTTGCTTTTTTCACATAGCATCATGTTTGAGCAATTAGTGGTGCATGTGCTGTAGTTTATCCTTTTTGCTGCTGTATAATATTCAGTTGTTCTTGTTGATTGTTGTTGAAGTTGTTTGCAGTTACTTGCTATTACAAACAATGCTTCTCTGATATTCTTGTGCCTTTCCTAGTATACACATACAAGAATTTCTCTCTTGTTTGTGCTTAAGAATGGAAATGATGAGCCACAGGGGAAGCATGTGTACCGCAAGTTAATGCCAAGTTGTTTTCCAAAGTTGTACCGGTGTACGTTTTCACCAGCAGCATATAAGAATTGCAGTCTTCTCTGTTTTAATATGCCATTCAAAACTTAAGAAAACACAATATGGAATGTAGTTATTAGTGTTTGTGAAAGAGATTACTTTTGGAACAATTATTCCCTTACAAAAGAACTCTTTGATTCATTTTTAAAAATGTATTAAATTTCTACTATGATCTCTGAGGACCCAGGGAAATAAAAAAGAAACTAGTGGTACTATTCTTGCCCTCCAGGGGAAAAAGAGTCTATCTAGAACAATTTAATGTTAAACCCTGTGGCATGGGTTCCTGATTTACATAAGAGTTCACAGAATGGAGATGTCAGTTTGAGCTGCTGGAATTGGTGGAATTGGAACTTAAGCCTGGCTATAAATATGAGCCCAGATGGTGGTGAGCTTTGGAGCCTGGCAGAGGAATTTGAACTGTAGGCAATCAAGGATGCACTGTGGACTCTGAAGTAGGGTAACACTCTTCAAAATCCATTATTTTAAAAATAAAATTACAGGCTCAACATGCAGAATAGACTGGAGAGAACATAGCTGCTAATCTGCCACAGGTCATCACAATGGGAGGATGGATGGATTGAGATCCATTTGGAAGTCTCTGGGGATTCTTGGATTCCTTCTCTGATTCTGAGTGTGGAAAAGAGGGCTCAATTCTGTCTCTAGTGATTATTTTTTACATTGTGGAACCTTGTCGTTAGAAATAGAAAGAAAGAAGGGCAGAAAGAAAGAATGGAAGAAGGGATGGAGGGAGGAAGAAAAGAGTTCTTGCCTGCATTTTTCTTTCTACTGATTGGAAGTTTGATACATGTGAGTTCATTTGCACAGTTTTATTTCCAATCAGTATTAATTTTGTGTTACCCTGTAGATGCCTCTGTTTTTCACTGTGATAAACCTCAAAATAGGAAGTTAAAGTTGATTTTGGATTATCCCATTCTTTTTTGCTTTAGTGTTGATATTGTGACATCTTCTAGTTTAAACCTAATTGCTTCATAGAAGAGAGAAATGATATTATGAAGATACTCTTAGCTTATTTATTAGGGAGCAATGCCTTAAACCTTTGTAAGGAGAAATATATTTACATTTTAGACATATTATTGATTCTTGTGATGTATTATACTTGTACTGAACAAGGAAACCCATGGTTCTTTCTTTTTAATAAGTAATCTCTGCAGCTTAAAATAAAAATATTTAAAAATATTGCTGACCAATGCTTTTCCTTTTTGAAGAATGCTAACTCAACTCTTTAAAAAATCCTAAAGAATCAAATACTGAATTTCCTCATGCAACTTGTTATTTTAAGGCTATATTACTTGTCTCACAAGAACTGCATTACTATTCCCAGGTCCACTAGACTCCTTCTTGGATACTTTAGTTGAGTTCATAAGCTAAAGTACTGATTTTATTATTCATTTCTCTGCTTACAAATTTTTAATGAGATACCATCCAGAATCCTCAGCTTAGTTTTCAAGGCCCTTCCCTACTTTATGCCACTCCATTTAGTTTACTTATTCAGGGCCTTTAACAAAGTATGTGCTTAACTCTGGCCACTTTTCCTGCAGGTTTGCCTGTAACCTGTGTTGGAAAGACGAGTGTGTGAGCTAAAGGCATGTTACTTTCTGGAGATTATAAAGGGATCTGAGACCCTACAGTAAACGGCCACATTAAGCAATCTTTTGGAAAATTTTCCTGCATTCCATCATGGTTCATTTAGAAAAAAATAAGATGGTGCCTTAACTAATAGAACAGTTTTTAAATTCCCTGCACCAACTTTGCTTTTCTCTCTTGCCTCCTTCAGTGCTTCTATTCCTGCTGATCGTTGAATTCATTTCTCTGGTATTTATTGATCACCTAGTGTTTATTGGTCAGTGTGTAAGGCTTTTGGAAGATTAGGGTAAACATAATGGGACTCGTGATTGTGGTGGGGGTACAACAAAGAAACCGCTAAAATAATGAGATAGGCACTGTGATAGGAGCAGCCTTGAGAACAGGTATGAGGAGGAGCTTAGGAAAGAGGCTTCACAGAGTTTGTGAGCTGGGTCTCAAAAATTAAGTTCTTTGTGTTGGAAGATTATCAAAAACTTGTTTTGATATGGTATATGCAATCTCTATTTTATTATATTTTGCTCATTGATTAGAGCTATAGGATTAAAGTTGGTTTTTATTTTATCAATCTGACATAGTGTTATAGTAATGTAAAATTTTGGGTCTCAATGTTTCTTAGTTCTTAGTTGTAACTCTCATTTTTAAATAATACATGAGGTATTTTGATCCTTTGTTCATTGATGTTTAATTTCTATTTGTTTACTCTTAACTGTGTTTCCAGATAACACTATTTTACTGTGTGGCAGACATTGTCAGTGAAAATATTTTTAAAAAGAAAAGCTAAAAAACATACTTTAAGTATTTATACAAATAAACATAAAGTGACAATATTGTACAGATTAACCTTTTTATTCAGGTGATTTCAAAAAGTCTTCCGCAAAGTATTCTTTTATGTTGAATGCTTTCCTTTTATTTACTTATGTTTGCTAGTTGCTTTAAAGCATTTTTCAAGAAAGTAACTTTTTAACTTTTATTAATAAGATACTTTCTTTACCCATGTTAATTTTAGATTTTAGATTCTGCATGTTTGCATATAATTAGGAATTAGGATTATATATGATCAGAAATTTGTGAACAATGAGAGTGCTCCCATAATACATACAGTGATTTTAACATATTCGTAACGTCTGTGGCTCTATGTTCAGTCCCTTTTTCAGTCTTCAGTGTGGTTAATAAATTTACCTCACAGCTTTTATGAGCTTCATCATTTAGTCTCTATAGATGTCCCTTCAATTTCTCAATTGTTATTTGAATAAATGAAAACTAAGCATTTGTAAGTATAATTCATAAATGATATTTTTAAAAATTACAGAAGAATTTAGTAAATTAATGTTAGTTTTTACTTGTCAAGGTAGAATAGGCTTTTATCTTAAAAATTAAATCTTTTTAATTTTAGTTACTTGTACTTGCAATCTTTTTTAAGCATTTCTAAACATATAAGAAACAGAGAATTTCCAATTTTGTTGAGTGTTTAACATTTTGGGGTTATAATGAATCCTCCTATATGGCATAAATAAATTACTAATGTTGAAGTGTTTAAATAATAAAGTGGCTATCACTGAAATAATTTAGTCCTTTGTCCTTTTTGGATGTTCCAGAGTTTCTTTTCTTTTTCATTGTTTGGTACCTTAGGGTTATTAGTATGATAATGCATATTTTGACTGTATGAGTTCATTAAAAAATTTTTAATTATAAACTCCTCTAGTTGCCGTGCTACATGGATAAATATAACTGAAGCAACTTTTTATATTCTCTGTTGAAGATTTTTATTATGTTCATTTAATGTTTATTGAGGATCTACTATATGGCAGACACTGTA